TCAGGTCACCCAACAGTCCCTGTGCTAGGATCATCCAGCTACTAGCAACACCGGTGCTGCATTTTTGACCACACTGCAGATCTTCCAAGAGTTACATGCAGCCCAAGAGCCAAGGCAGGCCATTCCTGATTCAGTGTCATCAGGACAACCCGTGCAACACTACTGCAATCTTTCCTGTTAGCTTCATTAAGTCACCAAAAAATACCTTTTGGTTTGTTTACTATCCAAGCTGCTACCAGAATTTAGTGACATATTTGCAACAAACACCATCTTAAGATCAAGAGAGCCTCCCTCGGTGAAGAAAGATTAAACACCAAGTGTGCCAACTTGGTATTTGAAGAAAGATTAAATACCAGTGTGCCAACACCACAGCAGTCTGCAGATTTCCTATCAGCTTAACGCTTGCATGTAAGTCACCTATAAAACCTCAAAACTGACTTCTTACTGCACAGGCCAGGCTATACAGGAAACAATCAGCTGAGTGCACTGATCTGCTTTCTGTGAAATACGTTACTATCAGCAGAGGAGCAGGAGAGAGATTTTTCAGCCAGACGCAATCTGCTCAAGGGAGAGGTGGCATCAAGCAAGAGGGGCTATGAAGCAAAGCCTTCAGTTATCCACATTATTTGGGGAATTTACATCTAAGGTGCCACTTTATATAATACTAACTTGCATGCAAACAAAAAACCCTTCACTGAATGGGCAAATTTACAAAGAAATTCTGGGGGTTTTTTCATTTTTAAAATGTTGTTTTCCCAAATCAAAGATACTGGTACTGTTATTAGAATGGTCTATTTTCCTTTCCTTATATTGTTGTATAACATCTACCAGTCAGCAAAAAATGATACCAGTTCCCATGAAGTTTTTGTTATGATGTGCAGATGTAAGACCTGTACTACAATTGCTTTTGTGCTTGACATGCTCAGACGCAAGTTTCCAACCTTTGAACAAACAACAGAAGTAGTTCCACGAAGAAAGTGTATATATTCCCTGCAAAGGTTTTGCATTAAAAAAATAAGAGAACAGTCTGCTGGGGGAGGGGTATGCATTAAATCTGAAGATGGTCCCCAACATGCAAAGTACTTCATCCAGAAATCAGCTGTCATAAAAAGTGTTGTAGCTCTTTGTAATCTAATTCTACTCATTAACTGAAAACCCTTACAACCTGAAAGCTTTGCAAGAGTTCAACAATTAAGGTAACTCTATAGAGTCACTTGATTTGAAACACCTCCTGAAAAGTAAGCAATTAGTCAGCACTTCTAGGAGGCACTTAAAATGCCCTTTGTGGTGAACAATAAATACATCCAGAAGTGAGAAAAGACAGTTCATTTTGATAGTGCTTCTTATGAAGAAAGCTGACCAGGTTGTCTAAAGGGTAATTTTTGGAGAATTGTAACAATGACAATTAAGTCTTTTCCCTATGGACAAAAGGGCTGTACAAATTAAAAACACAACAAGAAAACAGCAGCACAAATACAGAATACTGCATTTTCAAGCAGTACTTGCTCAAGAATCTAAACAGATAACGCCTTTTTTTTATCTTGAGTGCTGAAGCAGAAAAACCTTTTCCACTTGCTCAATTTTGATGTGAGCAGTTCCTAAATTTGGTGGTCTAACACCTGGTCTTCCCCTGGCAAAAAGTCAACATTAAAGTGTCAGAGTGTTATTCCCAGCTGCTGATCTTATTAAGAGGGTCTCACATTTAACACAGGTCAGGAATAAACAGTTTCAGAAAGGATGACTAGGACCAAGAAGCCTTCCTGAAACTACTCTGAAACCATTCAGCTCACTTCAAAAGGAGGCTGAGCAAGCATGCCATTGCTGCCTTCTTCATCTGAGGTCACTTCTCCTCTCTCCTGGTACACACACAATATTTTCTCCAGTATCAAGACAACTAAAATAGAAAAAAGCAAAGGAAGCTGTAGCATATGAGTGAAATAAGAAGCTCAAACCTCAAAATGTACATAGGAGATGGCCAGTAAGAGGAGTCTAGACATTTTAGATTCTGATGGCATCGTAGACAAAAATACCAGAGTAAAAATTAGACTTGGCTGCTGTGCCTCAGTCACAAACTGAGAAATATTTTCCATTAGTAAATGTATTGCATTTCTCATTATTGATAACAGACATGGGAACCAAGACTAACTTCTACTCCAGTATTTCAGTTACACATACAATCTCACACAAAATTAACAGATGGTTTTGTCAGTGGCAGCAAAGGCTACCCAAACCAGTTATTCTTTAATCACTACTGTTGCTGTAACATGCTCTGAAATAATCCAGTCATATTGCTCCAAACTACCACAATAGCACGCAGTAGAGACCTTCAAAGAATGACTGCTGAGTATCCTACAACTGACAGGTTGCTAAAAAGACCAGGGTGCTGGTGAAACATTTCATTTTTTCTACATGGAACATTGGCAAGAAAATGCATTATTCATGACTATGCATTTGTGCTAGCTTACACTGTTCTTAACATTTCATTTCAAAGTAGGCATTCTCATGTTTTCAGTAAGATAAATACATATAATAAATATATGTGTACCCATAAGCACAGAACATATGAGTAGTTTGGTACTTAGATCAACTTGATTGTGAAATAGTTGATGTATCCTACCCAAGATCAACTGCATTTGACAAATAAACTTTAATGAAAAATTGAACTTGTCCATAATCACGACCCTAGTGTAACTTCTGCTGCTAAATAATTTATTTTCATCAACTGAAAGAGTTTATAAAACTGTACCTGGAATAATCATCAACTGAGCAGATGGATCAGACTACAGGAAAATGAGAAGGGTTTTGCTTTTCCAAGTTTCAGATTTTATTAACTGCTCTTAGATCCTTTAACGACTTATTTCTACTGCTCTCTGGGAGGCAACAGTGAGAAACCAGAAGACATTTACAGGGCTAAAAACATGTAAATATTAGTGAAAGAAGCATGCACAAAAAAACAGTTTGGAGTTTTTCTTTGACATCCCTGTGCTGATGCCACCCTTCCACCTATGTTTCAAGTTTTGGAGGAAGCTCTTAAATGTAACCAGATTTATTGAAAGCTGAGAGGTTTTCCATCACAAAACTGCATAAGAGAATTGCAATTTTTGCAACTGCAATATGGTACCCAGAAAGCGGACATATTATTGCATTACCTTCCTAAAACTTACCCTTCATATAACAAGTTAGAAAGTGATCTCTACAAAGATTTAGAAGAAAAACATATTTTGTCCTTCAATTACAGTTATTGTGAAGGGTTTTTTGTTTTGGTTGGGGTTTTTTGTTTGTTTTGGGGAATGGGGTGTTGGTATTCAGTTTTCTGTTTGAGATGTTTTGTTTTAAATCTAGGCATACTGAAGTGTTTACTCCTACTGCTTTAATAGAACAGCAGTATGGAAAAAGTTATGAGTTCACTCTACCTTTGATCTACTTCATTTTTCTTCTTGTAGCTTCCTCTTTGTGTAAAGTATCATGAGCTTGCAAGAGTAGGCAATCATCTAATTTTCATCACTGAGCATATTACTGCACATATTTGGAAAATACAAATACTCTTCTAAAAAAGACCAACTGGCTTGACAACAGTGCGTTACTCCTAACTAATGAGAATCTTTGTCTCTCTGGTCAGAAGTCAAATCAAAAACACTTTCATTATGTTTTCCTTCCCTTTTCTCTCTCAGTTATGGGATGGTGGGTGGAAAGGGCACGAGCATCACATCTTTTCTTGCACTCTTAAATGGTTCTAGAATCTAATAAAATAAAACTAATGCTATCATTGGCTCCAATTTATAAGTTGTAAAGAGATAGGAAAAGCATAAATCCATACTTTTATTATTTCCAAAGCTGGAAATAGAAGTAATGCAAAAGAAACATCTTTCCTATTTATATATTGTCAAAGGCCTTTTTGAAGCTGTGGAAGAAAATATTTGAGATATGGTACTTCTATGCAGTTCAGGGAAGAAGCCACGTTTTACAAAGAGACTTTCTTCTTTTGGAGGAAAAGACCCAAACAGGCAAGTTCAACAAATTATAATGTAAAAAAAGCTGCAAGCATCTAAAACAGCCCTCACCTTTCCGAAGAAACAATGCATTGATTTCTCCCCCAAAAAAAGCTGACTGAAAAAAATATGTGAAATGGCAGTATAATATATTCATTTTCTTGCTTGTTCAGGGAAAAAAGATAGTATAAAGAAGACCTATACTACAGATTAAAAAAAAAACTATCAAAAAATTATACAGCATAAAGGACCATTAGTCTTTCACTTCAGGAGACCAGTCACTTTACCACAGCTACCTATGGGGTAACCTCAAGCTAACCATTTACATAACATCACCAAAACCACCACTGAATTCAACATTTCTGGCAACCACAGCTTTGTCCCAAGAACAGAACAAAAAGATTATACTGCAATTCACATCCACGGACCAAAATGAGAGCTGAGAAGAATCAGACCTGTTCTACAATGGGCTAAGGCAAAACAGCTTAAAACAAAAGTTCCCTCAAGGGTGGGGAAAGGAACCCTTCTGCAGATTTTTCTGATTAAGTGCTAAAACATGTCTCAAATTGTTATTAATGCAGTGTATTGATTTCTCTAATTTCTTCAGCTGTTTCAATAAAGCATGAACATCAACAATGAGCAAAGCTCAAAAAAATTCCACTACTTGACACTGCAGAGAGGCACAAGCATGTCCACAGGCAGCCGACGGCCTTTCAAGCAAATTATATCGGGTTAGAACTTCCCCATTTCTGTTCATCTTCTGCACAACTGCCAAAATAAGTTTCTAGTACTTTTTTAAACATCTGATGATTCCTAGTTGTTCACAAACCAGAACGAATGCAATTTCAGAAATACAAATTGTTTTCAAATCACACTAACAGAAAGAGAAGCAAATAACGCAAAATGGCTTAAGGTAACTTTTATAACAGTACCATTGCTTATTTAAAATAATTCAACAAACAAGAAGTAGCAGTAATTTTAATATTTGTAATTGTTTTAACAAAGACTTACCCTCTTGCAGGATCTAAGGCAATTGCTCTAGGTTGATCCAGTTCTTGCCAAAACAAAACTTTTCTCAGTGATCCGTCCAAATTAGAAACTTCAATCCGATTTGTTTCAGAATCTGTCCAGTATAATTTCTCTCCTAGCCAGTCACATGCCAGCCCATCAGGTGACAGAAGTCCAGAAATGACCACATTTTGTACACTCCCAGATTTATTGAATTCTGTTCGTTTAATGGCTTCTTCACTTACATCACTCCAGTATATCAACCCTTTTACAAACACAAAGTCCACTGCTGCTGCGTCCTCTAAGCCACCCACAATCACCGTGGCGTTCTCCTTCCCGTTTGCAGCATCCACCAGTCGCAGATCACGTCGGTTTGCATACAGCAACAGTGGGGCAGCTGTAAATGGGAGAAACAAGGGGTGGGTGGGATAGAGAGATGCATTAAAACTACTCAATATTAAATATAACTTGCACTATTATGCTGCATCAAGCCAGAACTACTAACTGATTAAAAAAAAAAAAAAAAAAAAAGGTGAGGGGACATTTTGAAGTTTGACTAAAAAGCATCAACTCAAAATCTTTCAACAGTGCTATGACTCAAGTTGGTAACTTTGTAATGGAAAGCTCATTACTCTGGGCTGTGCATTATTAAAATAAGATTAAAGAAGAAGGGAGAGAACAAAGAAAACAGACATCTGAAGTGCCCAAAGGACACTGTTCTGTAGAGAAGGATGCTTAAATAAGAATCTGAAAGGCAAAGGTAAAGCAGTTTTCTAAGCGCTCAATGCTGCCCACCTGAGCAAAGACTCTTCTTTTTTTTCCCCTAGAATTTAGTAATATAAGCCCCACTTCTATAAAAGCATAACTCACTTCAAGCTATCAAAGCCACCTGTGCATTGATACTCTCCAAAATTATATATCTCACATATAATACACACAAATACAAAATTCATTGCACAGCATGAGAGGAATGTTGTTTTAAGAGTGTTGACGTTGGTATGAGGACGTAGGGAGAAAAATAAATCTACAGGAATGGACAACACTGAGTTCTTTCAAACTCGGCTCTACCACTTCTGTTTAGTTGTCTAACACAAAGCCTTTATTTTATAAGCTTTATTTGCTTACTCTATCAGTTTGCATGGTCTGTGTATTTTTCACACACAACACCCAAGATGACTAATCAAAAATAATAACCATGAAAACAGATAGTTTCTTAAATGTAACATGGCTGTTTAATTGTCCTTAGCCACAAGCTATATGTAACATTATGAAAATTCTAGCCTCATTCCCACTTCAACAAAAGGTTAAGAAAAACACTACAACTGCATAAAGAAGACGATTACATCCTCTTAAACCCACTATTAGAAAACATTTCTATTTTTCCCTATGTTTACTCAGGCACTGTAGCAACAGAGCATTTAGATAGATACTATGATTGGCAAACTAAATGCTCCTCTACCTGTCACTATACAAATTTAACAAAAATCGTGCAGATTTATTCATCAGCATAGGTGGGCGCTTACACTTCTAGCAGGATATATCTCCTAACCAAAAGGCTTACATTTGTAGAACCAAACATGTGCATGGTTGAATAATGTCAAGGGCTACACTGCCAGAAAAGATACAGTTCTTTGCATGAGAAACTCACACTGAGATTAGAAATACTAACACACACTTCAGAAAATTCGAAAGCCAGTTTCCAAGATCAGACTACTCTCCTCATTACCACAAAACTGTTTCTCACAGACACTGCCACATTAGTATTGGGAAAAGCTGAAGGAACTAAGAAGTTCCTTAACCTATGTCCAAATAAACAAGTTCTGCTATGTACGTTTGGAAGCTTTTTACTTTCTTTCTTCCTTTTAAAAAACAAAACAAAACAAAAAACCCCAAACTGTTTAGGCTGTCGTCACAATTTTAGAAACACTGAATATAAACTGATTTATGACAATCTTTAGATAAAAAGTTACAGAAATGGGGGGAGGAGGGAAGCTTTGTTGTTTTTAGTATTGCTAAATTTGTACTCTCCTTTACAGAAACCAAGCTTTTATTGTGCAGCAAAACATTCAGTTTAGATATTTTATTTCCATGGAGAAGGGGTAGACTTCTTTAAACTAGAAAGCAGACTGCTTATATTAAGTAGGTTTATTACCTTACTTTGCTATGTCCTTCCCTTCCTTGTATAATTTCCCACCCCCTAAAGATATAAAGCTAATTACAGTAGAGTTTCTTGAAGTGCAGGTTGCTGATGATGACTGCATTTTTCAGAAATAAGTAGGCAATAAACTGGAAGTGGTAAAAAATAGATATGTAGTAAAACTCTCTACTTTTTAAAGCCTGCGTACAATTGTAACCTGAAAAATCTAGTTAATAGTCAGCTCAATGTCATGTAGTGCACCATAGGAAAGCGCGCAGCCAACTGGCAGAGCTCTCTCTAATAAGACAGCGTGCTCGGCATTTGAAAAAAGGTAAATTCAAGCACACAGGGGTACAGGTTCCATTATGATGTGCAACACGGAGCGAGAGTACCCATGCACAGAATTGGAACACCAGGCATGTCAAGTGTAATCACCGAGGCCTGAAGGCACTGCTGAGCCTAACACAACTGCATTGCATAGGCTATTCCCTCCTTGCTGGAGCTCAGCTCTGGCTGAGGAAGGACTGGAGAAAACATCCTTCTCATGAATGATGCAAGTTATTTGAATGATGGCTCTGAAGAAACACAGCTACACTTAGGATCTGTAGTTTCAGGCACATTGATTCAAAGCTACAACTTGTAACATATTCCACTGGGCTGGCGTATGAGGATATTAAGCTTTCCAAATTGTTGCAACATTCAGGAACGAAGCATGCATCACCAAAATAATAAAAAACAGGTTTGTTTCCTCACTCCCTCCAACCCTTCCCAGAAAACACAAAGGCTTCAATATCCTATAAACTCCAATTACTGAAGCTGCCAGCATCCATACCTAGTATCATCTTTGCCATTTCCTTGACTCACACAGCAATGCTAGAAGGAAAATTGTGGCAGAAGATCCCATCCTGCCCCATAAAACTCACTTTAAAAGAAGCACAGGACACTGAAAAGACAGCTTTCTTGAATAATGCAGTTATGAACTATATACTAATAGCCTAAGGGAAGAAGTCCAAGAGAAACTCCCTTTCAAAGCTAGGCAAGTATTTCACAGTTTAAGTTATAATGGGGGCAAAGAGATACAACTCAGATTTAAGTAGTCAGAGCTGAACTCTTCATGTTTCCAGTTCCCCTTCTATAGACATCATAAAAATACATATTTTAACTTCAAACTATACTACACTGAAGAGAAGTGCATGTTTTTAAAAGTAAAAGAAAAAACACTCAACTTGGAAATCAACAACTGAAACAGCAGTGAATATTAACATGTCCTCTATCCCCTGAGAAGTCTGTAGGTAGTTTAGTAGTCTAATTAAAGTACCCAATACAGAGTAAAAGCTATGCTTAGTTATAAAGTAAGCCTTTTTTTTGTATCCACCAGCATGAATAAACGTCTGCTTAGAGAACACAAAAGTTACAAAACCTGAAGTTTAACACATTTGAACCGCAACAAAAAAATTAAAATAATAAGAAACTCCTGTCAACAGTGGGTCACTGAGCCTAACTGCTTCATAATTCTGATATTCACATAACACCTTTCCTAAGCTAACCACATTCAATATTTAAAATCCAGTCACTGTCTTTTTTTGCCCTACCTTTACAACTAGAATTTTACATCAGCATCCTTCTCCTCACCACCAAACTTCGGTACTCATACCAAATATTTCTCTTGGCTGCAGCTCTTGTCTCTCTCCCTAGCATACCAGAAGCTACTAATCCCCAAGATACTTAAGCCTGGTTTCCCTAACACTTGTTTACTTAAGTCTTGCTTTGTACATCTGGTTTGCGAGTGTCTGATACTGGCTTAAAAATGCTGCAGACCACAGAATACAAAGTGATGAACCAACATAAAAAGACCACTTTACCAGCTAAAAATGTTTTTCAACATCTTGGTGTTTAAGTGGCTACTTTAAGCTGTCAGAATTTGTCATGCTTTCCATTAACTAGTCCAGAGGCCTTTTTCTGCAAGTTCCTGCTTGCTCCCTTTCCACTTTCAATGATCCATGACACTACTGGGTGACACAAAGTCAGTGTTACCTTCAACATGCTCTTTCACTGACGTGAAATTTAACCTGGTTAAAGCAATTAGTATCGCCTCATTTTCCCCAAATTCTTTTTTCTCACTCTCAACCTCCAGCAATGCTGTTCTGTCAACTCCCTCACTTAGTTAAGGGCCCCTCCTCAAGCTGATCCAAATCATTACATCAGTGAAAGGTTTGACTGGGTTAGCGAGTTGAACCGACTCAAGAAGCGGTCCAGCAAACTCCAAAACTAGCATAAGGCAAGCAGCAGGGAGTTGGAAGGGGACCAGCTCTCCCCCCTTTCACTGGCAACCTGCTAGATCTGCTCAAGATGCGACTGCAGCCACATCCTTTCTCCCCAGCTCCACTTTCAGCTGTCGGTTCCCGACCTCTCTTTTGCATTGGCACTAGCACTAGTCCCACACGACATCAAGACAATGCAGGGAGCTAAACCAGCAGAAGGCTATCATGCTCTCCCCGCACCTGCCAAAAAGTTGTTTTTAGCCAGCCATCATCCAGAAACAGTTCAGAACAAAATCAGATAAACCTAAGTACTAGCACATCAGGGAAAGATTGACAAATTAGTTGAACTGGTTGTGAACCTCCAATTTAGGAACAGGATCTGCCAGACTAGAGGTGGCCACCATAAATTGTGGCAACCTGTCCCAGAATCCCAGTGTGGCCCAGCAACCACTCACACTGTGGAAATAAACATCCATGCAGGAGTCCACTGGTAAAAAACCCATGGAATGTTACATTGGAAGAAGATGTTGTTGTGCTGAGAAAACTCCCCATCTTTTAAAAGCCTTGATGAAGAACTCCGAGCATCTAAAGGTGAATTGATACTGCCAAGCACACTGCCACGAGGATGGCAAACATAAGCACTGGAAAAGAGGAGATGCAGTGATGAGATGTGCTAGATGAGGCACAGTAAGCATGAAGGACTTGCCAGGCGCCTTGATGAAATGACATGCACCCAGATTCAGACCACAAGAGAAGGAAAAGCAGATAAATGGGCATAGATAACCAGCAAAGAGTATTATTTGCAACCCCCTCAAAACCATTCTATACACAGAACTCCTTGTATGTAATACAATCCTCCCCCGTTCCCAAGACGTCCCACAGAGAGCCCACACAAGAACATAAGAAAAACTCTGGATGGACACAAGGGTTCTGGCACAGTCAGTTGCGCACACTCTCCCTTCACTCCCCACATTTCAAATTTCTTCATCATTGCTTATG